TGAGGCCCTGGGTTCGATTCCTCAGCACCACATAAGCAAAAAGAAAAAAGCCAGAAGTGGCGCTGTGGCTCAAGTGGTAGAGCGCTAGCCTTGAGCTGAGGAGTTGAGGGACAGCGCCCAGGCCGAGTTCAGGCCCCACGACCGGACCCCCCCAAAAAAGGTATGTTGAAGAAAAATAATAGTGTCCTAGTTAGTAGTTATTACATTATGATTCTTCTTTCTTTTCACAAATTTAAAGCTAATATGAATTATTTGGATATATGAAATGGTTCTTAATTTGGCCACAGCACAATTGTTATTCTTTTTATTGCTATGTCTTGCTAAAATTATATATTTGAGAGAGAGAGAGAGAGTGTTTGTGTGTGTGTGTGTATTTATTGCTGCAAGTCAAACTACCCACAGCTTTGTTCATGCTAGGCAAATGCTATATTTATAAGATATATCTCTCCCTCCCCCCTCCTAGTTCTTGTATTTTTTGTTCATTTGTTTTTTTAAGTTTGTTTTTGTTTTTTGGTGTTGGTCCTGGACTTGATTTCAAGTCCTGGACACTGTCCCTGAGCTTTTTTGCTTAAGGCTGTCATGGTAGTACTTGAGCCACAGCTCTACTTCTGTTTTGTTTTATTTTTTGTGGTTAATTAGAGATAAGAGTTTTATGGACTTTCCTGCCCAAGCCTGCTTTGAGCCACCATCCACACATCTTGGTCTCCTGAGTAGTGAGGATTACAGGCGTGAGCCACCACCGACTTTGTTTTGTTGTGCTGATACTGGGGCTTGAACTGAGGTTCTCCCGCTGTAGCGGTCTCCACACCCATCCTCTTGGTTAATTGGAGATAAGCATCTTGAGGATTTGTCTTCCCAGGCTCTTTCATCTGAGATTCTTGATGTCAGCCTCTTGAATAGCGAGTATTATAGGCATGAGCTACCAGTGCCTAGCTTGTTCTGTTTATTAAAAATAGGTAATATTCATGTTTCAGGTATACCAAGAGTTTAAAAAATACTCTTCTTTATTTTGAGAAGATTATTAATATAAAGAATTAACTTATTTTCTTAGTCTGGTGTGATTTATCATTACATTGGCTAAGTAGGAAAATATTCAAATTTATGTGCTTACCGTAAAGTGGAAAAATAATAACATGGAGCCAGTTTGATTTATTTATTTATTTATTTATTTATTTATTTAGTTGGTTGTGGGGCTTGAACTCTGGGCTTGGGCACTGTCCCTGCACTCTTCATCTCAAGGCCAGTGCACTTGAGCCACAGCACCACTTCTGGTTTTCTAGTGGTTTATTGGAGATAAGAGTCTCACGGACTTTCCTGCCCGGGCTGACTTTGAACTGAGATCCTCAGATCTCAGCCTCCTCAGTAGCTAGGATTACAGGCGTGAGCCACCGGCGCCCAGCTTATTTCAAGGTCTAATTTGTTCATAGCCCTCAGGGAACAGAAGCAGGAAGAACTTGAGTTTCAGGCCAGCCTATATTATATAGCAAGACCTTGCCTTCAAAATAAAATAAGCCAGGGGGTTGGAAATGTTGTAGAGTGCTTGCCTTGCATTCAGGAAGTCCTGGGTTTGATTCTTCAGTACCACATAAGCAGAAAAAGCTGAAAGTGGTGGTGTGACTCAAGTGCTAGCCTTGAGCAAAAGAAGCTCAGGGACAGTGCTCAGGCCTTTAATTCAAGCCCCAGGACTGACAAAAAAAAGGAAAAAAAAAAGCCAAGCACAGTGATGTATGTCTGTTTCCCAGCATTTGGGAGGCTGAGGCTGGAGGATCACAAGTTGAGATTAGCTTAGGCCTGCATGTATTGCCCCTTTCACAAAAATTAAAAAGAAATGATGTGCCTGATCATATAAAATAATTTATTGAAATGAACTCTGGGAAATGGAAACCAGAGGAGGATAAGGTAGGGCACAGAAATGGAAGGACAAAGAGTGAACAAATGCAGCAGTGGTACTTTCTAGACCTTATGTTGAAAATGAACTATACAACTTGTAGGGGTGGGACAGGAGGGAAAAACTGGGAGGGGGCAAGGGTAGGGGAGACATTGTCCAAAAAGAAATCTACTTTTTATCTGACTTAGGTAACTGTAACCCTGCTGTATATCACCTTTCTAATAACAAAAAATTAAAAGTAAATAAGAATAAAAATAAAGTGAATAATATAAAGGTGAATAATAAAAAGGTGATGGGTTTTGTGGTATCTGCCTGTTATCCTAGTAGTCAAGTGACTAAGGCAGGATAATGAGTTTGAAGCTAGCTGAGATACATAGCAGGACTGCTGAGAAAAATAAATAAATAAGATAGTTTGGGATATATACATATATATTTGGGGGGGTCAGTTGTGGGGCCTCAATTCAGCCTGGGTGCTGTCCCTCAGCTCTTCAGCTCAAGGCTAGCACTCTACCACTTGAGCCACAGCACCACTTCTGGCTTTTTTTTTTTTTTTGCTTATGTGGTACTGATGAATCGAACCCAGGGCCTCATGCATGCAAGGCAAGTACTCTACCAACTGAGCCACATTCCCAGCCCAGTTTGTGATATTTTTATTTTATTTTGTGTTATAGGAATATTTTCATCCAGAGTAGTTCAGCTTTATAGAATAGAAGCAAAAAAAAATAATTTACCTAATTTTTGTTTATTCATTTGTGTTTTCAGGTAACAGGCTGGGTAGACCCCTCATTTGATGATTTTTCAGAGAATACATCCATCTCTACTATTACTACTGACTCTTCAGGTGTGAATAATTCCAGTCATAGAAGGAAAAATGTGACTTCCGTATTAGAAAGTAGCAGATTTCCAACTAGAAAAAAAATAAAGTTATCTCCTTTAGAAGAGTTTCATGGTCTAGAAAATTCAAATGGATGGATGTCTGAAAATGAACCATGGGTGGATAAGTATAAACCGGAATCTCAGGTACTGAATACCAAACCAATATGATTTAATTTCAGGGTGCATAAGGATAGATGGGAAGGAGAGGGGTTCCATTTTTATGTTCTAAGGCTGATTTTGTCAAATTATTCTGAAATTATACTATTTTTTTTGTCTTAGATGTAACTTCAACCTAGAACTGATCTCTTTATTTTACTAAGTATAATACCTCTTTATGTTCCCTTCCCAAAGCATGTTTCTGGAATTTAAAAAAGTTTTTTTTTTTTTTTTTTTTTT